GTCGTCGTCCGCCATCTTATTTTCTACTGTATTCTCGTCGTGCAGTTCCGGTGGCGTCACACCTTTGGTCTTCACGACATCCCTGTCCTCTTCGCCAGACTTATCGTTTGAGTCGTTATCCGACAACTGATTTGTACTCTTCTTGTCTTCACTGGATTTGGTGGTCGACTCCTCAGCACTGGTGGCTATCGAGTCCTGCGTTGACTGCTCCTCATTGACGGACTTACTTCGGGTTAACTTCTCCTTCTTCACCGAAAGGGGTGGTCGACCGCGTCGTCCCACTGGACGGGCATTCAAAAGAAAAAAAACATAAATAAAACAAATACTAAACACTCGTGAGAGTGAACCAAAAAATGGTGACAAACCTGGTGTGGAAGGGGTCAGCGTTTGAGGTGTAGGCGCTGTTGGAGGAGACTTTGGTTGAGATTGTTTCTCATCACGCGATGAGGGCTGAGATTTCGGCTCTTCCTTCACAATAACCTCTGTTTTGACACTCGATTTGACACTATTTGGCGGACGACCTCTTTTGGGGGCCGGTGTTCCCGACGACTGTTTGGCGGGCGATACGGACGATGTGGTGGAGCCGTCGAGCGCCGAGTCGTTCGAGTGCACCGACGAGACCGAGTTCTGGGACGACAGCACCGGCGGGCCGACTACTGGCGCCGACTTTTCGGCGGGCGCTGCACCGCCGCCCGGAGGACCTCCCGAACCACCGCCAGTGCCCGCGTTAGGCGGCACTTGGGCCACTTCGGTCAACGTCTCGCCCTTATTCTTGAGTTTCCCGGACCGGCGTCGGGGGGACCGGTCTCTGATCACCTGAACGATGCGCGACTTCTTGATCCACTCGTCGTACCGGGAGTTCCAACCCGAGTAGTGCACGAAATACTTGTTTTTGTTGCTCTCTTTATCCAACTCTATCTTCAGGACCTTCGCCTCGTATACCTTCAGCTGTCGTCCCCTTCCGTACTTCACTTTCAGGCCATCGCCCACTTTGATCATCGACTCGTCCACTGTTTTGTCTGTTTTTGCATTCAAATTACAATTCAATTAAAATATAAACAAAACAATCAATCGCTCACTGAATGCATAAACAAATGACACTTACTTTTGCTGTACTTTTTGTCGTCCTCCTCATCGGACTCGTCAATAGTCGACTGTCCGGTCATCGTGTCCTCGTCGACAGCACCGGTAGGCGGGACCTCATCGTTGGGTTCGTCCTTCTTCTTGCGACCTCTGCCTCGTTTGCGTTCTTCAAAGGGCGCCAACTCTTCGGTCTTCACACGACTACTACTCGCCTCCTCTTTCACGGGAACCTCTTTGGCGGCGGACTTCGTGTCCTCTTTGGGCTCCTCTTTCACTTCCCGTTCCTTTTCCCGCTCCTCACGTCTATCTTCACGTCTGTCTTTCCCTTTAGCACTGGTAGGCGGAGGTGTGGGCACTACATCGACAGCACTACTCTTCTCCGTACTGTCCTTCTCTTTAGTCTCCTTCTCCTCTTTGGTGTCCTCTTTCTTACTGTCCCTCTCTTTCTTCACACTCTTCTTAAGCACCGGCGGCTTCTCCTCACGCAAGCGCTCGCCCCTCGAGGGCCGGGATGTCCTACTGTTGACAGTTATAGTGCAGCCGAGCTTTCGATAGAAGTCATCAAAACTGTGCAAAAACTTCTTATACGCGGCCTTCAGCTGATACACAGCACTGGACTCCTTTCCGGGCGCCGTATGCCCTCCCGGGAGGCCTAACTTGCCGTAGACGGCGCGCCACGAGTTCTTATTAGTCACCCGATTATAACCACCCATTTTGACCACAATTCGGTAGAGTTTATACAGATTGAGGTCTTTGCCGCCCACAGACGGGGCCCTATTGATAGGCGTTCCCCTCTCGTCCATGTATTTGTAGAGTTGGGCCACAAAGCGGTCCTTTTCCTCCGACTGCTCGTCATCGCTGTCATCGAGCGCCG